TGCCATCTTCAATGGCGTGATGCAACTCCTCTTTTAATAATCTATTTTGTGTTTCTTCTGCTTTAATTTGTTCTTCTAATAATTTTATTTGCGTCTTCATAGCATTAATAGTTCCTTCTTGCGTGTCTATTGTAGATTCCATCTGAAATAAAAAAAAATGAATAAGTAGTAATTAAAATGAATTGCAAACTACATAAAAGAATTTTTGATGAAACTATAACAAACTTGAATAATTTTCTTTTTATTTTCTTCCATCTTAGTGGTGAGATCCTTCATAGATCTTTCATAGTCTTCCATTTCAAGACTTAGAACATTTTTCTTCTTCACATCTCTAAGAGCTTTATCTAATTGCTCTTTAGTTGCTTTATGTGCTTCTTTTTCTGCATTTATCTGTTGCTCTTTCGTCTGCAGTTCCGCTAAAATTTAAGAAAAAGCAATGAATATACGTTTAAATGTCGATGATTTTAGTTTTTGGAAGAAAAACATACCTTCTAAGCTTTCTAATTTACTCAACGACTGTTTAGAAGCTTCTAGAGCTTGAGTCAATGATTTAACTTTTTCATTCAATTCGACAATTTCCGAAGTTTTTTCGTTAGTTTTAGTTGCACCATCTATGTCGTCACTTTTGCTTGTAGCTATCGGTTTATTTTGATCTCCATATACACTTTCATCTATCATTTTCTTGAGTCTTACATTTTCTTGTTCCGTGTTTTGTAACTGAGCTGTAACTTCTTTCAGTTTACGCTTCAGTTTAAGCGCGAACAGCCTTAGTTTCGTATACCTGTATAAACATGTTTATTAATGGCATAAAATAATAAAAAATAATATATACAAATAGAATAAGACAATTTACTTGTCCTCAAATGTCTCGTCTAAGTCCTTCATTCTAGAATGTTCCTCGGCTTTGGAGATTGTGGATGTAGACATGTCGTCATTAGGCAGTTCCGATGCTAGAGGAATTATACAAAAGCTTTAAGCAAATTATAAACATAAATCAATGTGTCAAGACTTTTGATTATATTTAATGACGGTAAGGGGTTTGCATTTATAACAAACACATCATTGTAGCTACAAAGGATTACGTTTCATCTAATTTAATCTAAAATAATTAATATCAAAATCATACCGGAGGAAAACGTTTGCTGCTTCAACCTTTCTATATCTTCCTTTAAGTTTGCAATTATGTTCTCTTTGTCAGTTAGCATTTGAGCGACGTTTTCTTTTTCCAGGGCAATTTTTTTCATATCGTCACTGTTTTGATTTGTTATTTGATTTGCCGTTTTTAAATCACATTCTAAAGTTTCAATTTTCCGAACTAAATTCGCTCTTTCCTCTTTAATCTCGTCTCTATCTTTTTCCAAAGATTCAATAAGTTTTTCCATTTCAGAAACAGCCTTTTGCAATTTGGATATCGCTTCACCGCGTTCCTTGAGCACTTCATTTATTTCTTTCATTTCATTTAACAATTCTGTATTTTCTGTTTTGTAACTAAGCAATTTAGATTTTGCATTTTCACATTCACTAACAATGTTATCGTAGTCATTTACTTTGGCACGTAATTCTTTAGTTTCCGTTAGAAGAGACGCATTTTCTTGTTTATATGCAGACAATTTTGTTTCCAGCTTAACTATGTCTGCTTGCAAGGAGACATTCAAATCTGATAAATGTTCACTATCATCTTTTGGTTGTTCCAAAGATAATTTAAGAGTATCTACTTCTTCTCTTAACAAGCCATTTAAGTCAAGCAAATCATCATATTCTTTTTTCAGCTTATCATTCATATCTTGCAAAGTAATTATTTTTGTTTTCATTTGGTTAATTTCTGCATCCTTTTCCGTGTTATGACTTTCTTTCAGAGTCAAAATTTCTTGAGATAATTTATCAACTTGCGATTTCTTTGTATCCACATCTTGTTTAAGTGAATCAACCTGATTGATATAGTTTTTATTCTGAGTTTCTAACACGGCAATAACATCTCTGGAAATTAATTTTTCTTTTACTAGAATTGCTTTTTCGCTTTCAAGTGCCTTAACTTGCAATGTCAACTCATCAAGCTTTGTTTCATTGCCTGCTTTTTTGTGTAGATATTCACAAGCTCTGCTGTAGTCCTCTTTAACTTTTTCATAACTCGCGCTAAGTTCTTTATTTGTCTTATTCATTTTTTCTACTTTTCCAGTTAAATCATTTACTTTTTCATATAATGATCCATTTTCTTTTACAGTTTTATCCAGCTGTGACTTTAATACTTCGTATTGTTTCAAATCGATAGTGGTGGTTTCTTCTTTAAGCATCAAGTTGTCTTGTGTTAGATCACTAACTTGCTTTTCCAAATTGCACAATTCATTTTTCAAAGCATTATTTTCTTCACTTAAATTTTTCATTAAATTCTGATGTTCTTTCATATTACAGTTATTTTTTGCCTCCATTAATTCATTACGTAAATCCAGAATTTCATCATTTAGGGATGCATTTTTATTATTTAGTTCATTAATTTGCTTGTCAAGTACTTTGGATGCTTTTAAAATTTCATTCTGCCATTTGGGGACATTTTCTGAATATTCCTTTACTGTTTTAGATAAAATGAATCTTGAATTCTGCAATTGATTAATACAAGCAGCACATTTTAATATCTTATCTTTATAACTTCGCAATTTAACATTTACCTTATCTTTTTTATTTTTTTCAGACTCATATAAGTTGGTCATTTCTTTTGCTTTATTATCTAGTATGCCAACTTTTTCTTCATAGCTGCTTACTTTAGCTTCGATATCAAGCTCTAGCTGTTTAATTATTTCATTGAGCTCTTTAATTTTGAGCTCCGACGAGTCATCTGCAAAAATAACATGTGTGAATTTTAAACAAATATAACTCTTATACATCTTAAAAGCTTCCAAATTTCAAAACAGTTTTAACAGAAACTTGAGTTTGCGCACTTAAAATATAGAGTTAAACATGAAAAGAAACCATGTGAATGAGAAATGGATGTGCGTTCTCAATTAATTTAAAGTAGACAATTTATTTGCAACTGCAGATGTCCATGGACAGTGGTCGCTTCTCTAATTCGGCGAATTTCAGTGGTTCATTGTGCCATCTTATGAAAAAGAACTAATTTTTTAATTCATTACATCACATCACCTGTTTGAAATTTTTGTTCAAGTATCTGAAGTTGTTCTCTCTGCTGCAGACCAATGTTGTTAAATTCAGCAATCCGTGTTTCCATGTCTGATAACTGAGTAATGAGTTGTTCATTTTCTTCCACAAGACGGTTATTTTGTCTCTTAAGGGATATCATTTCACTATCATAATCTGACAACTTTAGAGAAATGTCAGCAATACTTTGATCCTTTATAATTAAATCTGCTTTAAGCCTGTTGATTTCATCTTCGAAACTATGGCACTTTTCACCGAGAGCCTTCACCTTTGCTTGTGCTCCATCTATCTCAGTTATGTAGTTAAGTTTTTGTTCTGTTAAAGAATCAACAAGTTCTTGCAGGGTTTTATTATTTTGCAGATAGGTATTCTTTTCAGTTTCACATTTTTCCAATTGTTGTTTGTAGGTTTCAGTTTGACTTTGCAATTCTAAAAGATAAAACTCTCAATTATTATAAACATTGTAATAGAGAACAATACAAAAAATTTAATTTATTTAAAAATGTATGCCTGATAACCTAGCCTGAAATAATATTGTAAACCAAAAAGAGTTATACAACAAATTTGTAATTGTAAACATAATGAAAACACAAAAATATATATCCAACACACACAGATATAAAGTACTGGAGTATCCACATACATGCATTTTCTAAATATTTATGATCTATACAGTATATTAATTTCAAATTTAGTATCAACATTCATTTTTCATTTTAAATTTAACATTTAAAAGTAAGAAATAGAAACTTATTAAATGATAATATCCATTTGCTTATTAATCTAATAAATAACTTACCAGACTTTGCCTGCTTAGCTTTTTGAGCTATCGCAAGTAATCCTTTACATTTTGTTATTAGTTCTTCTTTTGACAAGTCATCAAAAGGACTCTTTTTCACACCATCTGAATTCTGAAAGACATTGTGCTATATATTTTCAAGACATTTTCAGTAAAACCTTATCAGCATATACTATATATACTATACCATACCATCTTCTTCCTATCCTACCTTAAATGACAAAATCATTTTAATATCTTGTGTGCTTTGGAAATCGCAATGTTGTAACAACAGTGTATTCAAATGTATATTAAACAGACAGGTGAAATTTGTTAGTAAATGATAATAAGATGTGAAGTTTAGTTTGCTGCAATATATTAGGCAATTTCTCTGTAAGTGGTATAGCATCAATAGAGGCCATTGTATCAATGTTTGGTGTTATATTACTACCTGATCTCTATATGATCCGAGATGTTGAGATTATTATTATAATATTGAAAACATACACATATATACATACAAACATTTAGAAATGTAAAAAGGTTCAGATCATATTTTTTTACCTTTTTATCAGTCTCCATGCTTGATCTCAGAAGGTATTCTACAGCCTTGTATGAACATAGACTGAACGGATGATTTTTTTAAAATGAAATGCACCCGCAAATCATGTTTGTTCGATTTAAACATAAAGCATTATCGAAATTAAATTTACAGATGACTACACCCCTTGTATTTTGAACTGTCAGCTTGATAAATATAATTCTTTTCAACGTCACAAACCACAAATGTCAGAATAATTGGTCAAAATTTAGGTTGAACAAACTGCCAGATCAAAATTTTGCTCAATTTTTAAGATTATACCACATTTGCCGGTTTTGTGTTGTTTCAAAAATTCTACCTAAACAAAAATAAGCTGTAACCTTCTGTAATGTAACATTCTTAAATGTAATTGTTATGTCGATATATTGATTATTTTAGTTTCGTTTTTAAATTAAATTAAATAAGCCCAAAGAGTATGTTAAATAAGCCACAGAGAACAGAGTTACTGCCACAGAGTCTGACAAAAAGCTTTGCGACGTTTATAAATGGCGGCTCTAGTCATAAATGCTGTCGTCGTTTTTTATGTGAATAGTTCACAATTTTCTTTTCACTAGTCTATAATTTCAGTGTTCTGAATATAATACAATATGGAAATGTGATTTAATTATTGATTTTGGAATTGTTGTTATTTTTCATAATTATACAGGTAAGTGTATTATAAAGTAAAGAATCGTGCTAGCGACTGGATTTTGTTTTAATTTTGTCTGCGGGGCGCGTCCATGAGTAATGTTATGGTATCTACTGTCCACACAGTAATGAGTTCCTTCGTTACAATTAAATCTAACCCATTTTCATAGAATTGTAAGCATATATAAACAAAGACTGGACAATAATAAATAGCATGTCTGCGTCATAACCAACATGTTTTGCAGTAGTGTATCGGATCATATTGTAACTATTTGTAGGACTCTGAAAAGTTTGCACAATGTCGAGCGATGAAGACAAACCGCCCGCGCCTCCCGTGCGTTTGACTAGTAACCGAGCTACCGATCGCGGAGACTCAGTGGCTTCTGTGGATATGAGGCCACTGCCAAAAGGTAATGTAAAATATTCAGTACCAAACCATTTTTTCTGAGTGAGTCACTTGCCTTATACATATTATCATTGTTTTGAACAATGGGAACTGATAGAAAATCTGGTCATGAATTGAAGCTTGTACTCATAATCTTGTGTGAATCATTAAATAGATTAACTTGAAACTTAAAATTTATTACAATATTTTTTTATTTACAGAACCTGATGATGGCGGTGATAGAAAAAAGAAAACACTAAAAGCTAAAATTAAAGGCTCTAAAAGTACAGCTCATAATGACAACAAACCTAATATTAGCTATCCAACCAATTTTGAGCACACAGTACATGTAGGTTTTGATGCAGTTACTGGAGAATTTACAGTAAGTCAAATATGGTTTTATTTATTTTGTTATAATTATCGATGTTACAAAAGTTATTTACATAAATTGATAGAAATTCTAACGTAAGGCAGACATAAGGCACATTCATATCTTTATATTAACAAAATTATATTGAAATAGGATTATTTGAAATTACAAAATATATTTTTTTGCAATTTGGTAGGTTATTAACCAAGCTTTTTGCCTTATAATATATAATATGTATTGCATATATGCTTTTTAAATGTTATGAGTAACCCATGATTATGATATATATTATACTGTAGTTATAATCAAAATTAAATACTTCATAATATCTATACGTCTTTGGAATTGTTTGAATAGCCAAATAATTTAGAGATTACATATATATTTTGAAATAGTGTATTTACAAGAGTTAAAATATAGCAAATTTTTGATGCATGATATACATAGTCCAAAACCCTAACTCAATATTCTCATAGTGTTATGATAAAAATTGGTTAATTCAATTTACCTATAAGAAATGCATTATTAGAATTAGTGGACAAATTTGTAATACAATTGTATATTTTCTGGTATAAGATTACATATTATCGAATTCCATGTATGACCGCTTTTGTTTCAAGCTGCCTATGACAGTAAGTAATAGCTTATGTATTTATAAGTTTATGCAACATTATTTTATGTAATCTTTTAAATATTGCTAATGGTATATTCATGTATATTTTATAAAAGGTTTGATAGCTTATAGTGGTATATAAACTTTAATATTATGTAATTTTATTCTTGTCAGGTTGTTTTTTTACTATATTTTGTTTATATGGTCTGAGACAAAAGTATTACCATATTAGCTAGTTTTCAAATATTTTGATTCTATTATATATTTTTTTTATCATTCACCGTAAATAAATAGTTTTAAATTTGTTGCTGTTGCTTAATATATCTTATGTTTGCATTACAATAAGCAAAAATAAATTATATAAAAACATTTAAGTATTTCAATTTTAGTTCTACTGTTCATTTTCTCGCCTTGTGATTTTATACAGGATGTAAATAATAGTTAAATATTGAAATGGTATAATATTCAAATGATTTCTGTATTGTCCATTGCACAGGGCATGCCGGAAGCCTGGGCGAGGCTACTAATGGCCTCAAATATTAGTAAACAAGAACAGAAGAGCAATCCTCAAGCTGTTCTCGATGTCCTCAAGTGGTATGATGCATCTGCAACACAGCCACCGGCATCCAAATATATGACCTCCGCACAGATGCACACTACCCATTCAGGTATTATTCAGTAAAATTATGACTTGTGATTCTGTCTTCTTTTCAATAACTTAAAGTGGCAAAGGAAAGGCCATTCTTTCCTTATAAGAAAAGTGTGAGATCAGAAAGAAGACTAAAATTAGGCCTCCGGAGCGCACACTCATCAGGCAAACTGAATTATTTCCACTTGACGCTTGTGATCTATGTGGTCGTGATATTGCACTGGACGAGCCAGCTCGCTTGTGAAACTGATATTGTTGCTGACGTACCACTCTACTACTAAAGAATACCTATTCTTATTAAAACTTTTATTTTTATTGTGTAGGGTCGTCGGTATCACGAGTATCTTCAAGCAGTCCATCGTCGTCAACTCCAACTGACACGGAACACCCGGAACCCCCGCCGCCGCCACCGTCTCGACCTGATCGCACCAAGAGTATTGTGAGTTCTCTTTGTGTTCTTTTACTACTTTCCTTACTTAAGTAATTTTTATTGCATCAATAATTTTAAATGTTTTTGTTAGTTTATGTTGCAAAAAGATGCTGTTTACAAATTGGTTCCCAATTTTCGATCCTAGCATTCTTTATTCGGTTAATTCTCCAATTCCTTGTACTTTCAGTATACAAAACCCATAGAGGAAGAGGAAGCACCTCCACCGAGGCCGATTGCTGCGCCCGCCTCGCCGCCGCACGTAGCTCATCCAGTCATAACCACTCATTCGGTTAGCACCTATTTTTGCTGCTATTTGTTGCTATAATCACTCGACGACACACATACGATCAATTTGTAAAATAATTTAGTATCTTTTACAGTGAAAAAGAGGTGACAGTAATGTCGTGTCACTTAGGTAGGGAAAAGAGGCATGCCAAACTTCCAAATTATTTATCTGTCAGTTAAGATCTTGCAGCTTCGTGGGCTTATATATAATTTGATAAACCTTTGTATTTGTCTGTTAACAGATATGCAGTAGAGTAGATGTGGGTGGGTCCCCGCTCCCGCTCGACCGCAATAAAAACCCGGCGCAGGCTGCGCCACAGACGCCGCCAGCGCACGCGCCGCACCCCCCGCACCCGCAGCACCCCCCTCATGTGCCTATTGCGCCTCCCGCCAACGGTGCACAGACCAACACCGACACTGGGTAAATATATGACTAGTAACTAATTACTACTCCAGTAATAGTAAACATAGAAAAAAAAGTTTTTATTTCAAAGCACATGACTGTTGTTACAATGATAAATTATAATTTATAAAGATCATATATCTGCAGACGAGCAACCGGACAACAGCAAAGAAAGAAAAAGATGACGGATGAAGAAATCTTAGAAAAATTAAGAACAATTGTTAGTGTTGGTGATCCAAACAGAAAATACACCAAAATGGAGAAAATTGGCCAAGGGTAAGTTATTATTATGAATTATTTGTTGTTTCACATGGTGTTTTATCAATATTAAAATTAACCCTGAATAACAAATACCATTTGATAAAAAAGTTGTGTTATTCAGTGCGTCAGGTACGGTGTACACGGCCATAGAGACTTCGACCGGTATGGAGGTGGCCATCAAGCAGATGAACCTCAGCCAGCAACCCAAAAAGGAGCTCATCATCAACGAGATCCTTGTGATGCGGGAGAACAAACACAACAACGTCGTCAACTATCTAGACAGTTATCTCGTCAATGAGGTAAGTCTTTTCATCCCATTTACATAAAATGTAAGTAGGAATCAACAAACAAATACATATGCTTTACATTTTGAAATCTGTGTTGCCTTCTTTATTTTTGAGAAGCACTTTATTGTAGTGTGTTATGTCTACTTCACATTTTAAATAAACAAGCGTCATTCTCTAGTATAAAAAGTCAAAGAAATCTAGATATTTTTTTATAATATACCAAATATTTATTTTTGTAGGAATTATGGGTAGTTATGGAGTACCTTGCGGGCGGGTCTCTTACGGACGTGGTGACGGAGACGTGTATGGACGAGGGGCAGATCGCGGCGGTGTGTCGCGAGGTGCTGCAGGCGCTGCACTTCCTGCACACCAACCATGTCATACATCGGGATATCAAATCCGACAATATACTGCTCGGCTTGGACGGACAAGTTAAATTAAGTAAGTATATACCAATTTTTAAATACTTATGATTAATTTTCTGTGTATTAATCTCATCATTTTATTCTTTTATAGCTGACTTTGGTTTCTGTGCGCAAATATCGCCGGAACAAAATAAACGAACGACGATGGTGGGGACGCCATATTGGATGGCCCCTGAAGTTGTTACAAGAAAGCAGTATGGTCCAAAGGTAAGATAGAGATAAGAGGAATGTTAATAACTCCGTTTAAATTTACCTATTTAATTGTGAAATATTTTACAGGTGGATGTATGGTCCTTAGGTATAATGGCGATTGAAATGATCGAAGGCGAACCTCCATACCTGAACGAAAATCCACTTCGGGCACTTTATTTGATCGCAACGAATGGCAAGCCCGACATCAAAGACAAAGAAAAGCTCAGCACTGTATTCCAGGATTTTCTAGATCAATGCCTAGAAGTCGATGTAGAAAGGCGCGCAACAGCGTTAGATTTACTCAAGGTAATTTCTACTACTAAGAACTAAATCTGGCAATCAACAGACCACTCTGTCTTAAGTAAACTAAATTATAACCTCTTTATAATATAATTGCATTATTTTCGTTACAGCATCCATTTTTAAAGATGGCGAGACCGTTAGCGTCCCTAACTCCTCTAATTATGGCCGCGAAAGAGGCTGCAAAAGGTCATTAGCGCAGGCCACCGGCGCCCGCAGCGCCAGCGCGATACTAGCGCCCCCAGTGCCTACACGTGCCTACGCGTGCCTACACGCGCTGTACACGTACGGACATACGAACCTAACTAAACATGTAAGCTGCGAACGATATACATTCGGCAATAACATTATGCAGTGTGTCATGGTAAAGTATGTTGTCAGTGAACTTACAAAGCTATTGAAACGGCAAGCTTGTTTTGTAAAGTGGCTGCGTTAGGTTACAGAAGTGATCGTATTTTTACAAAAGAAACGTTATTAAATGTGCAGTCCAGTAGTTGTAAAGTTCTGTAGTATTGTGTAGAAACATTATTTATTAAAGTTGGTTAGCTCCGGCGGCGGATCAGTCTACTGCGAAACGAATCGAGGGGCTTAATAGGGTGTAGATATACTGTAGTATTAGGAATGGAATTTGGAGCGTAACAAAATAATCTGCAAACGAAGACTGGCGGTTAACTTTTAGAAGTTGTAAAGTATAAATAGTAGATGTACTGTAGTTCTGTAATAGAAATAAAGCCGGATCAGCTTTTAACTGTGATGGTAGCCAGTAGATTGTGGCAGCAGTAGACTGATTCCCTGGCGCGGAGTGTCGCCGGTAGCAGAAGTGGTATGAGGCATATACCGGTTACAGACTTGGCCCCGCTGGGTTCAGTATCGGTCGACGCCTTAGATGCGGTTGTTTAAAGGGTAAAGTTGGCAGTTTTATAACTCGGAAATAATGACGCTATGAAGAGTGTTTCCTATTTAAGAATAATGGTTAAATTAAGGTCCCACTTAAAGAGGGGTTTTAGCAACAAGTATTTCAATGAAACTAGTGAGTGAATGAATATCAATATAAATTATGAATTAATTTTGACTGAGATTTGATCCTACAAATGGTATATCTGTTGGCTTACATTGCTTATTATAGTCAGTACATGCTAGCTAGTTTTATGTATAGCTATACATTATCATTGTATTTATATTTTTTTAACTGCTTATGTATTATTTATCCTAATGACATTTGTATATCTAAATAACAGTTTTAGCACGATTGCAATTTTAATATTTTTGACATGAACATATTTACAGTAGCAAAGTTTACGTATTTTATTGTTTTAAATTGAAGACATTGTTACTTTAAGTATTAATAAACTAAAAATATTTTGATGTATCCATTTATTGTTAGTCATCAAATTGAAGCATTTACCTAGTATTAAGTTTATATAGTTTATTGATTATATTTGAAATCAGAAATGTCGGCATCTTTTGTGGCACAAAAGTATTAATAAGCTTTTAAATGAACAATTGTAAATTAATAACTGATACGAAACTTAGATAGAATATGAGAGATTGTTTACCTTCTATAACTATAATATTATAAGACAATAGTACTCAGTAGCTAGAGTTGGATACAAAAAATTAATGCAAGAAAACTGTACTCTGGACACCTATGTGAAGTATATTGTGATTGTCTCTGCTTTCGTGTATAGGTTGTGCCAGAAGACGCCATTAAATTTCGTTTGAAATTGTTTACGTTTGCTATTTTTTATTAAGCTAGAGGGACAGAGATAGAGAGTATGTTTTGAATGTTTGAGAGGAATGATGTTAACAGAAATGAAGAAAACGTGTGTCACTTGCTGTAAACTGTATGAATACAAATAAAGCAGTGATTAGTACTTTTTGACAATACGATATGACCAATTAACGCTATGTAGAGTTCTTGCATTTGTTCCAGGTTGGTGCAATGTGACGGTGAAATTATCATTATTAATGTTAATGTTTGTTTTTTATTATAATTTTGCTTTTTACATATATCTGGAGCTATTAGCATATCATTTTAAATGCAATATAAGATTTATATATATTGTCGGATACTCGCCACCTTGAGGCCTAATATAGACTATGTTTGACATTCAAATGTGGCCTATTATGAAAATGCACATGAATCATGCCCGCACCAACCACTGCTAAAATGTGCAATAACATAGTAAATACGCAGATATGTAGCCAAATTTTGATGGGGGTTTTTAACAAAAACTTTTAAAATCAGACTAAATTTTAAGGCAAACAATATTGTGATCATGAAAATGAATTTGGAGTATGCATTTGGTAAGATAAAAATATAACTGTAATTATGTATGTAATCTAATTTGAAATGTATTAATATGAGAGATTTCAATGGTTTTCATAATATTTGAGAGTTGTATAACACCAGTGCCATGTCTAAGCAACTTGTGCATATAAAATACAACCATACTATAATAAAAAGACTCACCATTCTAATATGTTTTCATTAGTTATGACCTTTCATCCACAATGTTTACTACGCTTTTGGTGGATTGTCGTTTATGTAAAAAAAAATAACAAAGAATTGGCATAAAATATTTATTGCATTAATTTCTCTACCACATCACAATTCGAAAGTATATTAAGTATGCAAAACAAACTATAAATTATTGAAATAATAAACATATTCGGTAAATCAATGTTAGAAATAATATTATTAAATAAAATGACTTAATTTGGTAACTAAAATGTTTCATGTTGAGGTATGTATGTTTATGTTAAGGCACATTAGAAAAATATTTACTTTATTATATTAAAAACAAAACGGTAAGTGTTGAAAATATATATACTAAAAAAATCCCAATTTGAGAAGAACATAATTATATAATAGTGTTGTGCATTCTTAAACACTTAAATTCATTACGAACCCATGATTTTAAAAAAAACATTGAGTAGATGTTTTGGAAGAAGTTTGATGAATTGTGTTATTCTTATAGCATACACTTTGGGGAAATCATCCTTGCAGTCCTAAGAAAAGTTATTAAATTATTTCATATATAATAAAGATATCCCACAGGAAACATTGCTATTAACTTATTTCCAAAGTTACTGCAAAGCTTTTTAACTTTTCCATTTAGAAATATATTAGACAGACAATATATTATTAATTTATGTTATTACTTTTACATTACTTTACTATGGCCTTTGAACTTTTATAAATATCAGACCTCGCGCTTTTCATATATTCAATAATAAATATTATTAATACATACCAACAAAATATTACTGTTAATAATTTTGTTGGTTATATATTTTAGTTCTTAAAAATAGGACCTAAAATTAGATATAGATACAAACAAATCTATTGGATCCATACAAGGTTTATTGTACTTATTCTTAATTTACAACTTACTAAACAAGATTAATCAAAAATGGATATGTGTAATTTTTGTTTATTTATTTGTAAGTTTAGGTATTCCATATGCTTCAAAATAATGATGTAACAATTAGATTAAAAATCTACAATACAAATTTTACATATTAATTACCAGAAAAAAATGGCGTTACATTTGCGAAATGGTAAAAAATGAAATTCAACTTCTATAAATTATCCTAAAAACAAAGAACTTCTTATTGGTCGATTGCAATAAATATACCAGAGTGCATGAGTGTTACACACAAACATAACGATTGTAAAGTTTCAGAATTGTATTCATAAAAAGCTGCAATGACATTTATATACCTATTTGTATTAGTAAAAATAGAAAGTATTTTGTCCATGTTTCATAGGATTTTTAAATTTATTAACAACTGTACCATTGTGGAGAAACAAATGACCATTAATTTAAGACCGTATAAATATTTACACATTACCCTTTATTTCTGGTAATTAAAAAATAACACCATAAAAAATATTTAAAATGGTAATAAAAGATAAAAAATACCAGGAGTATTTAAGGATAAAGGATGGTGTTCTTTTACTGAAAAAGCTTTCTAAATACATCAATATAAATGGGTACAGAATGTAAGCCATCTAATCTTATTCATTTTAATCCTAATTGAAGTTCATATGTATTTACACCTATAACAATAGATAGCAATCACAGCAAATATGTTTACAGTAAAATTACAAAGTTCCAAATACTATGCATCAAAAATATACTTCCCATAGTGTTGATAAAAATAATGAAAATATAATTTTTTTTTATAACCTTTTCCCTGAAAAGTGCGAGGTCATGGAATTTGTTAAAGTTTAATATAAATTAACTTTCTATGACATTTAGTCTGTTCTCTCCTCAGCCGGTATGAAGTCCATCGATGCGGAATTTATACAAAATCGTTTCTTGGTAGGTGCTGGGCCATCATTGAATACATGTCCCAGGTGAGCGGAGCACTTGGAGCATCGCACCTCAGTTCGCACCAAACCTGGCCGTGTTAAAACCAGTAATATATTTGCTCCAACTTTAATTCCATATACCGAGTCCATTCACCGACAAGCCGTTTATTTACACATCACAGTAACAGTGGTGATGCATTAATAACATTATCCCATATGATTTTCATTGTTCGTGTAGTGAGGAGTGCAGAGTTTGTAGTCGAAACGGCGGCCGACGTCCGCGCGCCCCGGCAGCCATCCAGATGGAGCAGAATGGAACGGGACAAGGCGGGGCAAAATGAGGAATGGGATAATTGCAAATTAATGTCATGCACATTCCACAATAATTGTTAAAGTGTGAAAATGGCAATGCAGTGTAATAGATATGCAACAGTGTTATGATAGGCAATATATGAATTAACGACGAAATTGTTATCCAATGATATTCCAAATTTTTTTTTTGTTATTTTATAGAAATGTTATTATGATAAGTGTCCAATAAAATTTACGGATGTGAATGATTTGACATGTATTATAGATATACCATAAATGTAGAAGAAAGATAAGCATAAATAAGAAAATAACATAAAAATACGTAAATTAGTTTTACCAAACAATTGCCGACTTACGTTTGTTTTGTGGTGGGCAGGATTGAAATCGGGTTTGTCAAGGACACGGGCAAGACAGACAAAAAAGATAAAAAAAATGCATTAGCACCAAAGTCCAAAATTTTCCATCACCTCATTGAGCAAGTTCAATAAAATTTAGTAGTGCCATAAATAAAAATAGGTATTTTGTACAATTCTTAAAATTATATGGGTATCAGTTAACACTAGGTAAATACTTGTTGAATTAAAGGTCAAACATGGACTTAATTTAAAATTTTATAGTTGCCTTAAGATTGGGTAAGTTTTATACAATATGTTAATTTTAATACTAATTATTTGTTGAAATAATATTCAATAAACCCATAAATAATTAAGACAGTGAATTACTGCATAATCATGCATAAAATAAATACAAACATTTTAGTAAAAAAATATAAAATGGCAACATTTTCATTTTTCCCAACTATTATCAATTATTAAAAATAAATAATCATTAGTATTTTAATATTCAAAAATAAAAGCAAGATGGTATTCAAAATAACAGAAATATCTTAGAAGAAATAATAATGTTTGAAGCATATGAAAAAAAAAAGAATTAATTAAAAGTGTAAATATTGCTTTAGAAAATATTAGCATGGGATTGTCCTAAACATTAATAGATTAATGACTGAGTAATAAGCAAAAAAAATTAACAAATGTTTGTTTCAAAGCAGTATGAAAAGCTCCGATAGTTCATGCAATGATAAAAAGTAATAAAATTTTGAAGGAGTATGTAATTTAGGTAGGGTTTTAACTTAAAACCTGTCTTTAATTAGCCTAACCAGATTGAAAGTTATACACTAAAGGATTTACTCAGTAAATGGCATTGGATTTGATTCCACTTGATTGACTTCAATAGATAAATTGAAATTGTATCCATCACAATACCCACTCTACTGTATCTAAATAGTATATTGTTCTTATTGCGTTATATAAAGATGTTTTAAGGTCAACTGATAAGATAATTCAAGTACATTTTTTATTAGATAGTGGATATTACTGTGATGTCTGTATCCCACAAGCTGTTAGTAATTAGGTTAAACTAAATTACTTTTCTACAATATGTACAAAATATATGCCATATACCTGCACTAGTATCCTGGTGTAATGTCACTTTTTCCTTTGCAAGAACATCGTTGAATGCGGGCCAGCCACATCCAGAGTCATATTTAGTCTTAGAGCTGAACAGCTCTTGCCTACATACTACACAGACATACATCCCTTCTTCATAAAATTTGTTGAAACAACCTAAAATATTTTATACATTTAACTTTTATTGCTTTAATTAAAATCAACACATAGTAAGAGACATTTTACAGCGGTAAAAAGCTAATAAATAGTAGTCAAAAGTAGATACATTTTTAATATCATTTTTTTAAATGTTATACATACCTGTAAAAGGTCTTTCTGTCCCGGCTTCTTGAGTAACATGGTATTGAAGTGGAGTAAGTCGTTTTTTCAATGACTCTTTATCTTCCATAGCTCTCCACACTAATGCTAAAATTAAAAAATATATATGAATCGTATGAAAATTATGATTCTTGGCATTTGTCCATCAATATCAGTGCAAGGTTTTCTGATGTACTAGCGATACGCACGTGTTCACTGTCTCTAATATAGATATATAACGACGTTGTACCTGTTGTAAATGGATGTTTCAACTGAACAGCTCTGTTAGATTGTAAGACCTTCCTAAATATAGCAATAGGTCGGAGTAGACTACGCATAACTCACATTTCTTATTACAATGAAGGAAAATATGATCTCTTTATGTTTAAATTGATGATTAGCAGATAAAATTAAGTTACAATTTTAGTTTATTATAAAAGTATCGAGTATTAATGATTGAAAATTAAATTAATCGTATTATAATGATAATGATATCGCACATCAAAGTCAACAAGCACTACGAAATTAAAGAGTATGTGACATTTGACATGACAAATTTTCGTCAAAGAGTAAAACTCAGCGAATGTACTCTTCGGTAATGATAGGTTGTTCAAAAAAATAAAAATTATATTCAGGATGTAAGGAAACAAATCCATACGCAATAGAAGATCGCATATTTCTTGGACGAAAATAAAAAAAATATTCGAAGTGCTTCAAAACACGATGTTGAGAAAGTGTTATATATATTTATAACCACTTTATTCCCTCTTTTTCCAAACCTATACCCAAACACACACTTGTGCAATAACATATTGGCATCCTTCTCATTCTCATTGAAAAACAAAGATAATAATACGTTTTACAAGGATGTGTCTACAGTCAAAATTTGGAAAGTTTTCAAAATAAAACACTGTAGGTTTATTTATATAGGTTAAATATCGTCTATTTTATTTCAAAAATAGTCATGATTAAAACATTAAGTATAACGCAACAGAATGACACAGTAAAGCATATGAAATAAAGATGGAAGGGTTTAAACTATATAAACTTAAAATAGCACTTCTGAATAACACAAATTCAAATAAGGCTTTATACAATAATAAACAGCTATTTATCCTTATCGCTTACTAGTACTAGGAATCATGTCGTCTTTCCATTGACTTTTCGACGACGCTTCTGTAAGTTTTCTTTGACTTCTCTGTTAAAAAAGCAAACTCTAAAATTTTAAATATTCACCAAGATATATTAAGGTTCTTATTGTCAAAGAAATTATAGTCAGTAAAAAACATAAAAAATACTTATGTTATTACAATATATGTTTAAGTCGTGCCTTAAACATCAATTACTCTAACCAACAAAATTTTACTAATTTAGTGTCAAATATGTAAAATAATATTTATAATTTTAATATGTAGTATTAGGAACGTATACTTTGTCATAAATATGAATGTATAGATTTAGGTTATAAAAATATTAATACTTACAGCAAGCGATTCCCGACTCTTCTGCATCTGCATAAGAACATATTCAGTGTCGTCTTGTTCGGAGTCGGCGCACGATGATAGCAATTCGTCCGACCTGCGACTGCGGCAACAGTCGTCGCGGAGTAGGGGCCGCATCTGAAAAATTATCATAATTTTTCTTGTAACATTTGGAAGAAAAAGTCCCATGATAGTTCTGGTCCCACAAAATATTTTTATGATTAAAGCAATTCGTTGAATCGTTTGGCATAATTAATACTTTTTCATTGTATTATAACTATTATTAATCTCTCTAGCTTTCTCAGAACAGCCTGGTAGTTTCATCGCTATAGAATCAATGGTTTAGAAATGAGTAGAGAAGAAAAAACATTTATTTAAGGCTTTATTTTTTTATAAAATGAGACGTAGTAAAGAACTTACAGTCAAGGGATCGGGCGATTCTTCAATGCTTAAACCTTTCTGCCAGATGTCGGCAGACAGTTCTTCCGCGTACGAGCTCATCCACGTTCGCAACTTTTTGTAGTGAGCCCTCGCAGAGTGTCTCACTTCCTACAGCCAGGAATTGCACTTTACTTCAGTATGAACAAATATTAACGTATTTATAACTTCGAAATATTTCCTTACTAAGTGCAATTCCTTGCTGACTTACAAAACCAAACGTTTACACAAAATACCTGAATATCTTGTCCGCTGTATATCTTTTTGACTTCATTCGGTTTTGTTCTGGGAACGGTTTCGGAATTAGTACACTTCGAAATAAGGTAGCGCACTGCGTCGCCCACGATAACGCACGGTATTATAATAAAGAATAATAAATTCAATATGAATTCCATGGACCTGAAACAAATGCCGTAAAGTTCTTACGATATTTGCGTTTAGTACTATTATCAACATCTTACTAAAGCTCGGTTATCTCACTTGCTGATGTACTGAACAGTCCGCTTATTTGTGTCTGGGTGTACCGGCCAGCCTTCATTATCATAAATGACACGGCGGTATCGTAGCGAGGTCTCATAATAGTGCTCGAGCCTCCGAGGCATCTTTACAAGACGGTCCAACCACAATGCGGCAACACATCGTATAACCAGACCCAAAACTGCTTTAATTACACCTGAGAGCACAGCAATAAATTAAACCTTCACTCTTGACTCGATTGTTCTATTAACACGTAATTTAGAAATTCATTCAGACAACAATGGGGACAAACTGATATGTTATGTATACAGTTTTACATTTAAAAAAACGTTTTGTTGATTATGTTAGCGTTCGAGCTCAATAATTGTGAACGTAACGTAAATGGAGTGTAAATGTATATGAAGGCTATTATTCTCTGTGACATTATGAGTTAGGCACCGAGGGCGAGCAAGGCGACGAGCACGCCGGTGACGAGGACGCAGACGTTGAGAGTGGCGCTGTCAGAGTAGCAGAGCGAGCGCACCAGCCGCGGCCGCTGTTCGGGACTCAACCCTGCCGCCAGCTGCTGCGCCTCTCCCAGCTCCTCACATATCAGCTTTGGATCCACGCCTGACAACGTACACAGATGTCGTACCCGGACACTGACGAAACATTTGTACACCGTGGGTTTACTCTACCGAAACTTTCGTACTAAACCATGTTATCTCTGTCGTTATACGTATTCTCATAAAATTTTACGGTAGTGAAAATATAATGCCACTTCTATTTGTTACTCCCGGGTGTTAAGATATTACATCTGATCTCGATCTATTTTTCTATAAATTGGCTCTACATTCATTACGCGTACAACCAAGTTCAAAAATGCTCAATGATAATCAGGGACGTTATACAGTTTTTCAAGTCTGTGTAGATTTCTAAACCTAAATTTACACTTGGGTGGTCTTCAATGACTATTTAGGAGACAGTTGATGTGCTTACTTAAACAGACGCATTTACAATGCCACACGCAAAAGCACCGGTCATTTTTCTTGATTGTAACGTCTCTCACCGCTACAGACTCATCGTCGTCGTTCAACAATGTTACTAAAACAATGATTAACTTTAATGACACAATTTCGATTGATTTAGACTTTCTCTTTATATTTAAATTGCAATGATAGAATAAATACAGTTACAATGTTTAAATAGGTTTTTCTTAATACCATAGCAATGTGCGGAGTCGTCGGGTATTTCGAAAGGCAGGTCGAGGAGGAAGCGTTGGGTTTGCTTCGGCGGTATGAGCACTGCCTTTGCGACAGGCTCCTTGTAGCCTACCTGATCAAGTACACCGGGGCCACAATCGCGGGCAGCCACTCTATTTGAAACAATAAGTTTTATTCAATCGATATTTACTGCTAAAAATTAATTATTGCAGTTCAATAGAGAGTTATCCGTAACGAACGATATCAAGAAACACTGTGTGTATGAATCTCGCCAAATAGCAATGCGTAGTATTTGCCTACCTGTCTGCCTATTGCATGTGTATTTTTATTTATATTATATTACTTTTTACGTACCTAAAGCGAGCAGCGGCCAGTCCAGTATTAGTAACTTGCAAAGTAAGCGCTGTTCTTGTTCGCCGTGTATTGTCCGACACGGCTGTCATTATGCGTCCAGAAGATCTGTTCGTAATATTGTTAAACATAGTTGAAATATACTTTTCGCTACCGACTTGTGATGCGATGCGATGTAAATGTTTAATCTTTATCATCATTACTGAACTAGCCAGATGGGATGGAACTGATTCCGTCCGAAGTTGTCTTGTAAGACTGTGGGAAACTGCTTTATTTAATCAGTGTAAAAAACGGCAGTAATCTACTCCCAAATGTGTCTCTTACCCGACATGGATTAATTGGTTTCCATCAGCACGAGATTCGACGTCGATTTGCGAGTGGTGTGGGCGTCGGTGTGGTATCAACATGTACTGGTCGGAACCGCGTGACGCGAACATAAGACTCTCCATGTTGCCGCCCATCACCGCCCGCGACTCCCGAATAACAACACGACGAGGTATCTAACCCCACACGCACAGTTAATTCCACGTTCTAAGTTAAAGTTATTCTTGATAATAACAAACTTGTTTTACCTTAAATTCTTGAGATACGTTACTCAAAGGCAGATTTGATGAATTATGTTTCATGTTTTTTGTATCCTCAAAAAGGATGTCATCTATGGCTAGCACCAGGAATTCACCAAATTTATCTAAATTACGACGATAACATTAAAATAACGATCCATAAAAATAGTTAGTTTATAATAATTTCAACCCGATAACTTTTCATTTTATTTAAAAAAAATTATCGCAAAACTTTTCTTTTGAATTTGTCAAATAACTCTTTAGGCTCAGAAAACGGTCTCCAACGATACAAAGGACATATCCTTAATATATATTTTTTAAGAGTTCGATTTTATAATAACCTATTAGTGAATCCGTGTTATGATCCGGGTTAGCTATGTTAGTCCCGCGTATTGGTATCAGTAGACAGAGACTTGTTTTGGGCAGTGCGAACTCTTCGTGAGACATCCACTCCGCGGGTCGGTACTGGATACTCATGTCCTGGTTGCTCCACACCGGGTGTTGAGTGCTCACACTAATGTTAAAAAAATAATTCATATTCAATCTTGAATTTATAATCACCTAATCTATAACTAATGTAAGTACAATATACCTAGCTACATCTTCCTTCGTTATATCATTCCAAACAGTTTTTCCTTCCGGTGTACTTAACTTTTCGTACAATTGAATGTTCACGGTATACCACAAATCAGGGTTACCGATTTCATAAACTGCGTATTGCTTTTCATCATTTCTTACTTTTGGATATTCGTTTGTTATATCGGTTGTAGTTTCTTCATCTATTTCGAAAGCATTTTTTGTATAAAATTGATTAAATTTTGTTGACTCCATTTTGTAAGGATCGTAAAATTCATTGATTAAATTTTTATTAAAATTGTCTTGTTGTAGTGTTCCGTATGTTGTATCATCTAATGTTGGAATGTCGTAGTTGCTCTCTTGTTTGTCGTTGAAAGAAAATCCTCGATTTCCTCTTTTTCTCATACTGAGCTGACGCCGTTTTTTAAAAATATCCCGCGTATCTCTATCTTGGAAAGGAATTTGATTGTAATCGTGTCTATTCCAATACGAAATTTGATCCGCGTCGAAATATTCTGCAGATGATGGTATCTTTTGTCGTTTTACTTGTTTAGACATTGGTGTACTTTTACAATCACCCCGACAAACAAAATTAGGATCTGGAGAATTGATAAAAAAAAATAAAACAGCAGTATTTAAAAAAAAACTTTTTGGAAAATCTTAAAAAAAATTGTAGTCAAGTTATGCATATTAAATCTATGGTAAACCAGTAGTTGAGACTCGTCACACAGAGCGCTTCGAGAAAAACCGGTAACCGGTAGATCGCATTGCCGCCGTTGACAGGACGAGGTGCAGGGAGGGGGAAACGACCGGCCGGCGGCGCGACGGGGGAACGGAACGAACACGCGCGAGGCGTAGCGAGGCAATGCGAGGCCGGTCACCCCACGATAGTGTGTCGCCAAGCGATTTGTCACATGTATAGCGTATTGTAGTTATTATTATAATTTTTATAGTTTCATTCATGGAAAGTTTCATAGAAGGTGTCCGTCTACATCCGTGTCTCTGGAACCCATTACACCCAGATTATAGAGAGATGCACGTAAAGGACAATGCTTGGCGTCGCGTGGTGAAACATTTCAACAACGAGTCTATAATCCCTAACAGTAAGTGACTGCACAATGATATATAACAATATGTTATTTGTATTAATGCAAATACGATTTCTCTCTATGTTATATTACGTTTTATTTGAAAACGAACAGTAATTATTCAGTCCGGACTTGGCCATGAAATGAGCAAATGAAAGAAATACATACTTCAAATGACAACTGTAAGCTGAGCCAAACGTAAAAATAATTACCAGCGTTGTTATATTTAAAAAAAAACTATTTAATTTCAATGCAAAGCGTGGATGAAGAGTGAAACGGACATAATTTTTAGAAAAACATTTCTGTAGTCTCAGCCTACCTGACCATTGATGCGGAGCGGAGCGAGGGATAGACGGCGAGTGGGGGTAAAACGTAGGGTATGGTCGTGTTGCGGAATGTGCAGCTCAAGCCCATGCAATTATTATTTAGAAATTAGAAGTCAGTTTTCTGGCGTTTCTCAAGTCCGTTTTCCGAAATTAAGAGACTTACCCAGGGTTTCTGAGACCAAAATCCCAATTTAACATATATTATCTCTGTTATGTTAAAGATGAAAGACAGGGATGACGATATGTTATATACAACAAATTCTCTGTATACAGAGAATTTGTTTTAAAAAACCAACGCTTAATATAGCTCACAAGTCGTAAGATAAGTCTTATTCTTTAACAAAACGGAGCGGAGCTAAGGTATGCCTGGTATTCGTGCAGCTGCCTGCGTGCGGCTTCACTCCTTGCGAAAAAGCCTCTCGCACCTCGTTTCTCAGTTCGTGAAAATAATTCGCTTTTCGGCTCCACATTACACTTTTGTGACACATTCACCTTCGGTTCCAATGTGTTATAATTTTTTAGCTTTTTAACTATTTTATTTTCAGTACAAGTTGCAAAAATGGAATGGAAGAAACTTCGCGATAACCATAGAGATGCACTCAAGCGAGCAAAATTGGGCAAAAATAAGCTCCTCCCAGCGCATATCACCACTTGGAAGTACGCTAAGATAATGCAGTTTCTCGAGCCGCACATGAAATACAGAATTACTGAGAACATAGAAATAGAAAACTTACTGCCGGGATCCAGTACAAAAAAGAGTGATCAATGTTTCACAACAGATGTCGAAGACGATATTAAGCCAACTTGTCCTAAGAAACGACGCCACATAGAAAATACAAGTGAAGTTACAAAAGACACAGATGCACTAGAATCGTTTTATAATTGTATCTTGAAGAGTACAAAAGTGATGCCTCCCTGGATGCAAACGCAAGTGAAGAAAAAAATATTTGCAATCATCATCGAGGCGGAAGAAACGCTCGCAAAGCAACATAGCGCTAATCCGAGCCGCGACACGGCTGAAGTGACAACTGAACATAGTGAGACTGACGAAAACCCGGAGCCAAAAATAAAAATTGAAGTTTGCTCAGACGAGGTCTAATACTACGACGACCAAGAAGATGTTTATTTTCAGTATTATTTGATACCTTAATTAGCAAGTGGTTTACCTATAAGTGAATAAACCATATCAGTGGGAAAAGATAAATGCATTCTCAGACTTTTATCAAGGAAGAGGGAAGATAAGAGAGGAGACAAGAAAATATATTTCGACCAAATCACTACTTAACATCAAGTGGGATCGTGGTTAAGCACTGGCTTATTCTTTGTAAAAAAAAAAAGGAGACAAGAAGGAAAATGAACAGCTGATGCTGGTTCTTCTGCTTAAAACTGCGTAAAACTAGTAATTGTTAACATTACCTTGTAAATACGAAGGTACAGTGGAAATATCGTCGATAGTCATATTTGGAAAAGGATGCACTCGTTTTTTTCGCTCCAACGTGTGCACTGTTTGATATTTGTAACTATCTGAACTATGGACTATCGTTTTAGAGTCATGTACTCGGCTCTGTAAAAATACATATTTTTGCATGGCCTTACTTATGTCGGTACAAAAATTAGTTGGAAGTTTTAAACAACCGAAAGGAACAAACCTTTTGAAACGAGGTTTTTTTCACATTTTGTGTTGTGCTCAAAAAAGAATCAAGAAAAACAGCTACTCCTTACTGCAAACACTAATGAATATACTGCATTCGAAATTTATACTTTCGTTAAATACTTACGTTTTTGCTCTTTTTACGTAGCGCCTGTTCACCTTCTGTATTTGATAATATACCGCTCACAGTCTGAAAAGATAATTTATTTTAAACACAAATAGGGATACTGCCATGTAAAGATTGCGTTGAGCAGATTAAATCTAAAATAATTAAATAAAAACTTTGTGGTGCGTTTTAGTATCATTGTATAATTGTTACTTTATATGAGGTTAATAAAGAAAGCAGTTTTGGACGCCGTGTTAAATTTCATTTTATTTCCTGTCATTAAACGGAGGGTATTTTTAAGGCTGAATGTTTATGATAGCAAAGTGCATAAAATTTTTATAAAAAAATATAAGAGGTGCTAAAAACCCTTACGTCTATCCTATGTATCTTGTAGGCCTGTACCGGCGCCTCTCGTCGTAATCTCAACACGAACGGGTCGAGTAAGCGCACCCGCTTTCTTTTCGAACCATCAAACACGTGCTCAATTGGTATGTATTCGTCGCCGGAACTTGTCTAAAATTCACATCTAGGACTTTATTCCATAGAAATACTTTTATTGATCACTACGAATTGACACAGTCCTTCTCATCAAACTTTATAGCATATTTAAATTTTATCGGTCCTTATGTCGACTCGACTAGACACCGCGACTTCCACGCGTTGATTACGTATGAACGCATCTCCACTAAGTTCCAAACCATAACTTTTTTATGTATACGAACTACATTAAATACTGAACTTAAAAACTAACTCCAGGTTCGCTTGTCATTTTCACAGTAAGAGCCAATTTCTTTTTACATTCTCGTAAATTGTTATGTTTGAAAAGTTCTTCACGTTGGAATCGGGCGTTGTCGCTATCGTCAGACGTGCCTTTTCTATTCTGTGAATATTTTATTGTTAAAATATTATATTAAATATGTGCTTAAGTGTTTCCAATTTTGTTAGGGACTTAATTTCATGGAAAGTATATTAAAGAGGTTAATAAAATTCCCATAAGCCATCATCAATTCCTCGCGCCCATCGTCGCTTTCTGCATCCAGCAACTGCGTTATTTAAATAAGTACTCATAATTATAATTACAATCTACAAACTCCTAACAGACACTACACTAATGGTATTTTAAGTGCACCAACAGCTTACATTAGGTTCACAATCAATAAATACAGCCCGGACTTCAACTTGGGAGCGCTGAGCATCCATGTCGCAATTTAATGCGGACAGTAATAACATGTACAGTAATATCCCTGCAAATATAAGATCCTTCTAAAAAATAAACAACAAATTGTTGAGTCAGTGATTAAAAACTTACTAAAATAAAAGCTACATTTAATTAAATAACTTTTCAATAACACAGTGATCATATTGAAAATAACACTCCAGCTGGCTTTTCAAAACAATTCATCGACATAGTCGTCAATTCATTTGACATTGTCAACAGATCCAACCAAAATTGTGTTATTTATACCTCTATATATCTATGGTTATTAATATAGCGACAGTCAGCGAATTTTTGTATTTCTGAAAACTGACGTTTTTCCCTTTTTAGTTTCCCAAATTAGAATCTGGATTTGCATCCTGAATCGCCCCGGACTTGCCTCTTAATTAGAAATATTTTTTGCATGTTTTAAGCTGAAACTCATTCGTGTAACTCTCGGTTTCGACGATTACATATGTCTTCCTCCCTTTTGCCAAGGAAAACGGCCCATCCATTCTTACAATATGCATTATTAAAAGTGTCACATTATTGGTATTCTGAGGGCCTAGCGCGAAAAGCGAGAAAGTGCTTACTAAAATCTTGTATAAAAAGAAAAGAAGGATATGTATGAAAATAAAAGTTCCAATTGCCTTAATTATTTATTCTGTTACTTGATTAAAATTGTTCACAAACTTGCACAAATTAAATGAGAAACGGAAATACTCTTTATTTCTGTCAATAATTTAATACATTCCATAAATTAGAGAACAATAACAGATTTATAAAAAATATCGAACGAGCAATCATCCCTTTCTCATTCTAAATGTGAGAATTATTTTAAATGACCTAACATATTCGTAATGAACAACACTAGAAAAAAGCAGATGAAATAGAATCAGAGAAGATATTACAGTACAAGTACTAGTAGTAGTTTGAAAATACCCACTACAAGTTGAAATAAAATTCTGGTAATTTTAACATAGATTTAGAAGTTTTTAAAAACATGTCTTTTATGTATTTTAATAAGTACTTGATCAACCAGCCAATTCAAATAGATTGTTTAGAATCCAAATTGAAATATGCATCAATTATTTCCAAATATTCGTAAGTTTTAAACTGAATCTAGTGATATATATAAATAATAGATGAAGCTGTCGTCGCTACAAATGCAGTGCACGCGCTATGACCTAGATTATAAAAAGACCTGATCAATTTTATCACTTATAATAATCACAATATTTATTCAAACTTGCAATTAACTTTACAATTACCAACAACATTATAAAACAATTATATTGATCAGATCTCTTGATGACATGATAACTTACAATTACAGCAAATAAAAACAAAATTAAATAAAACAAAATAGGGAAATTATATGACCACAATTGGAAATGTTAGTGGCTTTTTGACCTTAATTACTAAATGTATACCTAGAGCAAAATAACTATACAGCTCCAAAATTTTCATCCGCTTAAACCATACTGGTTACTGACCAGATGGTAAAATAAAAAAAATGGTACAATTTTTAATAATGCGATAGCGCGAGTTGTGAAGTCCTATATGAAGATTGTCTATGCGACTAAAAATGATAAAGAATACTTCGAGTCCTTACGGTGAATTTCCACTACCTTAGCACTTTTATTAAAAATATTGTTGATAATTTTTTTCCAAAGATAATGAGAGGAATAAATTCTTATCTAAGTGCGTCGATAGTGGACATTCACAGTTATATCACTCACACCACCACAAATCGGACATTGGCCTTCGCACACGCTCGCGCGCTTTTTTATAACTATATCTAAATACAAGTCAAGTTTTCGATTGATAGCATTCTCATTTCATAAATCATACTTAAGTCAGGAACTATATCTATATGTTTCAATTTTAATGTTCCAATATTGAAACGTTCATTAAACTTACTGGTTCTAATTATAGATTACTTTTATAGTTACAAAAACTCTTTTGGTATGATTTTTATAACTGACATACTTTAATAAAAAAAATAATTCGTCAAATCATCACAAAATTGTTATAAATTATAATTTAAAATCAAGATACAAATAAATTTTATGTAACTTTGACTATTTACAAAGTAATAGAATTGAACACTATCAATCATTTACTTAGGGTTTCATGAATATTTTAATAATTATATTTCTTAGGAAATTGTCTAACATTTTATGATTCATTATCCATCGATGAGCAAGTAGCAGTTTTACTGGTCTGAAAAAATAAGTATTATGTAATTACTGTACATACGTTTTACTTGAGGTAACAAAAATTAAATATCACTCAAGAAGTCAAGCATTACATTGGTTGGTCACTTTATGTTTGAAAGCATTGTTTGAGGTTGTGTATTACTTTATGTAGCTGTCTTACCTCGCAACTGTCGTAGAAATAAACGGCTGTTTCGTTGTCGGGGAAGTTTATTGTGAAAGTCTTGTTAACATCATCACCCATACCAGACCACGAGCATGAGTCACCATTGAGCTAGAGAAAGAAAAATATTAATATGAAGGAAATGGCATTGTGCAGTTCCATAAATGTTCTATTACTTATAATCGACTTGTTTAAACTGTTATATCGTTTTTTATTTAAGTTTAGCCGTAGAAAACACAATTATTTTACCACGAATTCGGTGTCAATAAATATGAGCGTATCGGCGAGCACTTCGCCAGTGTTCATGTCAGTGACGAGGATCTTGGGCGAATACAAGTTCTGGTCGAACAGCACTTGTATGTTGGCCTGCGCGCAACTTTCCCGGTTGCTGCCTTTTTCTACTATTGCTTCACCTTCACATGAAAAATATATCCCTGATTCATCTTCTTCTTCCTGAAATAAAATAAAAATAATTAAATTCTTGCTGAAATACAAAAATAATCAATTTCTGAAGAACATAGACTAATGTTTAATACCTCATTGTATTCATCGGAGTCATCATTTTGGTAATGCTCGTAATCCTCATCCTCTTCCCTGTAGTCATTTCCTTCGTCTTCTTCTACACAATAACCTTCTTCAACCTCTTCAAAGTGGACCTGCCTAGTCTCCATGACAGGTTGTTTGGTAGTTTCACTGGCAGCGGAAGCATCTTTGTCTTCTTGGATACTTGTAACAGCCAAATTCTCTGCCACCTTTGCCTTATCCTCAGCCTGAGGGACGTTGGTCACTTCTAATGGAACAGATTTTCCTTTTGCTTCTGCTGTTTCTTTTTCTTTTCTTATCGCCTCCGCTGCCGCGGCTTGTAATGACTGAAATGAGAGTTTACAATGATTTCTGTAGAAAATTGTATGTGAATGTTAATTTCATTGACAACATTTATGTTTATTACTCACCCGAACACATTCAACAACTTTGTCGTGGAAATTAGTAGCGATAACAGGCGTTTTGAATCTCACGGCTAACATCTCCTGCTCGCCGGCTGCATTCTCTTCGCCGTAGTTCATTCCGGCCCAGGTCCAGGCGCGGTTTGAGTTCTTCATAGGCAATAATTGTAGGTCCATGAACAGCAACATGTTGAGTACCAATTTATGTACCTGTTAATATACAATAAATATAAATACAGATCAAAAACTTGTACATAGTACGGGATTTGCTAAATGACTAATTAATTTTAAATTATCTAGTATGAATGTATAAAAAGCATATTAAAGTTACCTGTTCTCGTCGAAGTAGGAGGCGATAAGTCATTTGTTTAGGATGAAATAGTACTTTGATCTCGCCGACGCCACGCTCTTTCCACTCTCGACCTTTTTCGTCATATCTAAATAATTTACAACGTTCACCAAACAGCTTTACCTAAAATCATTTTTTATTAGTTTATTATACAATTGTATAAGATGAAAAGTAAAACATATATTAAAAGTTTTTCATGTGTTTTGTACATAAAAATTGGGACATACCTCGTCTTCTTCGCCTGTAGATACAACAATTTTAGCTGGCAATGGAACAATGGGCTCGTAATGAGGATCATACTCGTCTACGACGGCCCCTTCAGCATCACCCTCTACACTATCTTGTGATCTATCTTTATTCACTTTACTGGTAAACAATTGCTGGCCAGCTCCTTCCCATTTGAAATCTGCACTCTCTGAAAAAAAAAATTAAATAGTTATAGTAGTAGAATACAAAAATTATATGAAGAAAAAATCTTAAAAATTATCTTACGTTGAATATTAAATCCAGAGGCATTTGAAGATAATGTGGCAAATGACAAGTCATTATCAATTTTTAAAGGTCCTGTCACCGTATTCTCTTTGTCATCTTTAGATGCAGCATTCTCTTTTGTTTGAGGTTCTGCCACGGCTGCTATTTGACTGATATTCTCTTTAGGTTTGGAGCCAATTGCCACAGGTTCATTTGAAACTTTTCCGAAAATACTACTAAATGTTTGACCTTGAGTACTGAAAGGACTAAACTGGCCCAATTTTGGAGAATCACTCTTTAAAGCAGCTGGACCAAATAAACTTCCTTGATTCATTCCACTGAAGAGGTTAATGGGCTTTTGATCATCTCCAAAGACAGATTTGATTTCAGTATTTTTTTGGAACATGTCCTTCTTATTACTTGACAAATCAAATATTGATTTATTACTAGATACTCCTGCAGATGCGTTTATCGGTTTTGTATCAACTTCTGTATCTTTGTTTTCTAAAGATGTATTAATTTTAACTGTATCTAATTTCGGTGGAGCTAAAATAGATTTTTTCGTAACTGATGATGGCTGAGGACAAAAAATATTTGTAGCTCCAAATGTCAATTTCTGTTCAGATAAACCAGAGCTAGACTTGTCAGTTAGATTATTGTCTTTGCTTGTACTACTTGTATTAACAATGTTGGAACCAATCGCTCCTAAGGGAGTACGGAAAATAGAAACATCAGCTGTTTCATTAGAGTTGTTTGGAGTCCCATAAGACGAATTCGTTGGACTTTGTTTGGAACCCTTAACAGGAGTGGAAATGTTGGTTCCCGAAGCCCCAACAGCAGTGTTAGATACCATTGTAGTTGTAGAATTACATGTTGCTTCACTTGCAACATCTTCGTCGCTACAACCTCGACATCCTTGACATGGGGGCTTACTTTTGTAAGTGTAAAAATTTTCAGGGAGTTTAAGCTCTTTAGCTTTTTGCTTGTCTTCATTGGATGCCTGTATTTCACTTACGAAAACAACGTCGTCAGTGTCCTTCTTAGAACTATTGCATTCGGCTTCAGAAATTCTAGCAATGTCTAGAGCTGTCTTGAATTTCACTACATTTTCGGGGTTTGGAAACTTAATGCAAAAGTTTTCTATGCGTGATTCGCCTTCGCTACAGTCGTTAATAGTTAAATGCAAGGTTTTTTCATCTCTTACCTTGCATTCAATTTCTGGCGTTATGTTATGATTAATGTAAACAGTCGAATTTTTGTCATGGCGCACTATTCTGAAAATATTAATTAAAATATTATATAATTTGTAATTCATATGCATAGCTTAAAGCTAACCATAAATGTGTTGAATGGTGATTTGCATTGAATATGCAGTGACTAGCTGTGCCTGTGTCTTCTACTTCGACAAATATTGTCATTGGATAGCATTTCCCTATTGTTTATTTACATTCTTGAGGTTAAAAATGTTTAATTTATTTATATCGAATAAACAGACCAAAATATAAGTTTCAACATTCTTTTTCAAAAACTGACGATACTTCAATACAAATGTTCACTGCCTTACAACCCTTTTTGACATTAAAAAGTAGCCTTTCTCTGGCTCTAAATTATCTTTGTACCAAATTTCATTTAAATCAGTTCAGTAGTTTAGGCGTGAAAGCGCGACAGAGTTACTTTCATATTTGAAATATTAAATGTAAAGATCATTTTTTACAGCACAAGTAAGATATATAAAGGTTACCTTAATTTATTGTTCTCTTTACACTTGAATATTTCGACTATGCCAGCTCCATCTTTTTCCAAATTACCAGAAATGAACTTGAACAACAGGCCCCTTTGTCCAAATATTGAAATCCCATTTTCTTCTTCATTAACATTGCCAACCTGAAATTATTGAATCAATGTTAAGTATGATTACAATAATACATTCACAGATTAACTAAATAAGCTTCATTGTAGAACTTACCGCTTTCGAAATACTTAATGGGTTTAACATAGGTTTTGCTTCTTCTACAGATCCAAATTTATTTTTCTCAACATCTTTAGATTTATCTTCACTTTGCAGAGGTTTGTAGGTAAATCCAAAACCTTTTACGACATTTGTTTCATTTTCATTGGTTTTTGAAGCAGAAAAAACTTTGGGATCATTATTTTTAATGGAAAAATTTAAAGGCTGTTCTTTTTCAACTGACTTCGATGCACCGAACACGTTAGTATTCGTCTTTTGGTCCCCAAAAGAAATCACACTAGGAATGCCAAAGGTAAATTTTTGTGTGGTATTTGTGCTAAACAAATTTGTTTCACTTTTTACAGCCTCATCATTTAAATTATGAGAAATACCAAAAGTAAATTTGGGACTTGAAACATTGTTTGAAAATATTGATTTTTTATTCGGATCAAATAATTTGTTTTCTTTAGGTACAGCATTCTGATATCTGGGTTTGTTACACGCGCTACATTCAGTGACGTCGCTATTGTTTCTTACCAAACACATCTCACATTCCCATGAACCTTCCTTAGGTTTAAATTTATCTCCCCAACCAGAAAGAGCATTATTTGTCTTGGGCATAACAAAGGTATATTGATTATCAGTTTTAGAATCTGGTTTGGGAACGGAATTTGATGTGGGTTCTTTTGGAGTATTACAAGCGCAACATACTGCTACATCTGGTTTATTCTGGATGTAACAAGTTTTACATTCCCAACAGCCAGCTTTAGGTTTAAACTTATCACCCCAACTAGATGATGTATCAATTTGAGGTTGGTTTATTTTATCGCCGTTGGTTTGATTAATTTGTTTATCTTCATTCTTTCCTTCTTTAGGTGCTTTTGAATCATCAATTATAGAAAGTGCTGATGTGACAGCTTTTAGAAATTCATCACAAATTTGTACCGTTTTGAATCGCAAACAGAAAGTTTCAGCGACTAATTCTCCCTCTGAGAAGTCTTTGGCGCACCATGTTACGGCTTTATCCATATTTGGCATTTTCTGGAAAGTCATTTCTTTACTAATAGCATGATTACAACACACTTTCATTATTTGTTCTCTTCTCATTAATAGACGAATCTTTTGATTATTGTCTTTGTGCATCAATAATTTTATATTTCCAAGACCTCGTTCTTTCCATTCTTTGGCTGATGAATCATATCGTAATAATTTTGCACGGTGTTCAAATAAAATAATTTCATCTTCCTCGCCAGTTTTTTGATCAATTAAAGCGGGTAAAGGTACCACAGGTTTGAAATCAACTGCAGGTTCAAATTCTTCAACAGTATCGGAAGTATTCAATTTATTACTTTTTTCGGTATGTTGCTGATTTTGAGCAACTGAATCAATTTGTTTTGTTGTAGTACTAAACAAGTTTGAAAACTGTGTGCTGGTGTTGGGTTTAAATGACAATGTACTAAAAACATTACTTTTTGATGTTTGTGCGGTCGTAGGTGTCTCACTCGAAGTCACATTACTGATAGTTTTAAAAGATGGTGTAGTCGAAAATGTAAAACCACCAACAACGGTTTTATTTTGATCCAAATCAACTTTGGTACCCTGTAAATTTTCAAGTACTTTTTGATTTTCATGTAGGGTACTTTTCGAAGAAGTTATAGCTTCTTGTCGAGCCTTTTCAAATGTGTCGTAAAACTGTTTCGCAATTTCAGCAGTTTTGAATCTTATACAGAATTTTTCAAATATAACAGTTTCTTCGGCAAAATCGTTTGCAACCCAAAAGTAAGCTTTCGTCTCATTCATCATTGGTTTAATTTCCATTTCAGGCAAAATGATGTGATTAGCACAAATTTTATGAATTTGTTCTCTTCTCATTAGTACTCTGACTTTGCCAGTCTTATTATGCTGCAATAATTTCATTTCACCTAGACCCCTTTCTTTCCATTGCTTATCAACAAATCTGAATAATTTGGCTCTCGCGCTGAATATTACAACTTCATCTTCTTCTCCGGTTGTCACCTTTACCTCTGCTGGTAAAGGTATGATTGGTTTAAAGTCGGGGCAGGGATCATAATTCTCTACTGATGTATTACTTTTTTCTGATAATGTTCGAGATTTGTTAAGAGTAATATTAGGCGATGAATCAAACGCAGCACCGCTGACTACATTGGAATTGTCTTGTGAAGAGCTATTGAACAGACTAGTAGATTGAGTATCGGCAAATATGGATGGATTCCAAAGGGTAGAAGAATTTGTAGTGACAATTTGTTTATTCAACCCTTGCATAAAACCAAGCTTTGGGGGTGATACAGTCTTACTTTCAGTAGTAGTTGGCAATGGTATCTGATAATTATGAGGACTTCCCTTTATGTGCTGGGGTGGGACTGTTACACTCAATACTGGCGCAGGAATAGCAGCACTGGTAGGTAAAGGATCAGATGAGGTTATAACTACATTCACGGGTAGTGACCGTGAAGGCTCTTTAACATCAACAGAATGGGTTGGTTTTAAAGTAGGAACTGTTGTTGACATAGGTGCTTTGGATACTGAAGTTGTTACGATTGTCGCTGACAACACAGGTACTGTAGACACCATAGGTATCGTCGACACAGATGGTAGTGTAGATGCAGCCGACATATTAGTAGGGATAAGATGGGCATCAAGATACATTTGATCCGGTGTTGGATACACATTAGGATAGTTCATTTGACCTCTAGTAGGATCAAATAATTGCGCTCCAGGCACAGATTGTGGCTGGGTAAATTGAGAATACTGATTGTATAAGCTGTATAAATTTTGCCCATACATATGGTATGGATTAGAAGGAATTGGGAACGGCGGCACAAGTCGTTGCGTAAAGGGTGGCATAACCTGGGATGGTGTAAATGGTATATGCGGTGTGAATGTTGATGTGCTCTCAGTTGATCTATAATTGTCATCCAAATTATACAAGTCATTATCATTTGCCATTGAATCAGAAGATCCTTTCTTCAGCTTAAATACTTCTTTCTTTAACTCAGCTACTTGTTTCTTTAACTCCACAACATCTTTACATTCGTTTCTGCATTCATCTATTTGACCTTTAACTTGATCTAATGATATTTTAAGAAGTTTAAATTGTTCAGTAGTATTTTCTGTATTTAAATGTATAGTGTTTATTATTTGGTTTCCCATTGTATTATTTTCTTTAAACCATACTTTGGTTTGTTCCATGAAGTCATTAATCATTGCATCTCTTTTTTGCAAATTTCTTATGTGTGTTTCAATTCTTTCTAAATACTGATTATCTATCCTATTGTTTTCTAATAATTGCGAGTCTATTGCAGATCGATAATTGGTAATGTTAGCTTGCGATTGATGTTTAGGCGTAGAACTAATATTGCGAAAATGATGGTTAGGACGAATAGAAAACTGATCATTGGTAATCAAGGAAATGTTTTCGTCGGATACATACTTTCCTTCTGTGTTGTTAACATGAGTAGAATAGTCTGGATCAACTTTATTTATACAAGCCTCTATGTCTTCGATCAAATCTTGTGTTTCAGAATATAAGTTGGTACTTTTGAAAGCTTCAGTTTGCTTTAATTTGTCCAAAGCTTTATATGCAAACTGTTTAGATTTCATTAATAATGACATACATTTTGGGTCAGCTCCTGTGTCTTTTGAGTTTGCTATTTCATCTAAAGCAATTCTTTTATATGTTTCGCCTAGATAATAAAAGGCCTTGGGGCTTTTTATATTAGCTAGCAAATCAATAACTTTTTCAAACTCTCCATCTCTAAGATGTATGAGAGCCACATAAAGCTTGCATTCCTCAATTAATGTGTTAAGTTCTTTAGATCCAAGTTCTGGATGTGTATAGTCAAAGATACGTTTTTTAGGTACTTTCACAATAGTATTGTTTTTCAGTTGATTTAAGAGTGGTATAGCTGCTGAGTAATATAGAAATGCTCTCATTTCTAATTTATTGCTTTTTTCTTCTTCAGTTATTGCCTTAGCTTGCTCACTAAAAATCCGACCAAGAATGCATAGAAGCTCCGGATCTAAACCATGATTATCTATACACCTTACTACTTCAATTCCAGCACTTAATGTTGCTCGGATATCGGTTAATTCTGTACCTAGTTCATTTTGACAGAATTTATATGCACAATCCCACCATTTCATTTGTGTAAGACTACAAAGTAAATCAGTAATATTGGCTGGTATAGTGCATGGTTTATCATCAGTAGCATATGATTTTTGATTATGTTTTTGTTTTGCAGTCAATGCAGCGCAGTAAGCAAATGCATAAACATCTATCTTGCTGAGGGCTTCTGGTCCGCTGTTTGTAAAAGTAGGCATTAACATGTCAAAAAGAGTACATTTAAAATCAGATAAATTTTTGTAATTCACTAAAATCCAAACAATATGATGTAAGGAATTTGGATATTCTCTTTGAGCATTGTCATCATAAGCCTCAACTTCACTTCTTCTTGGTAACCTGATTGCAGGAACATGGAATGAATTGGATGTAATATGAGAAGTCTTAATATTTGCTTGGAATTCACTTATTGGATAAAGTTTCTTGTATAGTTTTTCTTTCCATTCAGAGCCAGAACAGTGTTGTGATATTTGATCTAAGAACAGTTGACTTTTATCCTGACAATTTGAAAGTAAATAATGCCCAGACTGTGAACATCTATAGCTACCCTCAATGTACCATCGTTGAACTACCTTTCTTTGTTTTTCTGGTGCATGGAGAAGCCAATTTACATTAGAATCCATTGGAACTGTTTGCCAAGCAATTAGCATTAAGGGATCTGCTAGTCTAATACTTTCTCGCCAGTTTATTTGGTCTTTTTTTGCCTTTTTAAGTAAAAATGTTGCTGTGTGGAAAGCTAACTGGCCTTTGTGATGTTGCAAAAGATAAGAGTGAAACTCTGAATGTCCACTAGGTGCACCAACACGAGCAACATTTTCTATTGCTTGGTCATAATGAAAAAGAAAATAATTACATTCAATCAAGCTCTTTGATGAACCACTGGGTATTTCTGTAAGACTTAGGAGACATAGTCTCTCTTTAACGGTTAGCAAAAGTAATTGGTATAACCAATCTTTTGTGTCAAAAGTGTAATTCTTTAAAACTTGGGAAATTATTTCATACCAGTCATTGTTTAGTGAAAAATAATTGTTATCAAATTCTACACTACAACTGTGTTCAAATGCTTCTTTGATTTGATTAAAATTCAGGTAGTGTTTAAGCAAATGAGCATGAAGGAGTGCTTCCTTTGGCCTTTCCATAAGCTCTGCTTTTAGTAATTTAAGTAATGCTTCTGGGTCTGGGTTAAATTTACTTAAAAGTTTTTCTCTAAGTCGAAAAGTTGTTGTATGTCTTGGGAAAATAGCTTCTGCTTTTTCACACCAATATTTTGCACGTCCAGGATCAATGGTAACATCATCATCAGCAAGCAACTCGCAAACTAAAATAAGGATTCATTTTATTAACCTTCAATCTTTTTCTTTAATATTTCAATCTATTAATAGTGAATCATTGATTAACCAAAGTTTTCGCCAATAAGAACTTTTAGTATTTCAAAGTGAAGGTACATAACCTATATAATTTACCCCCCCATGAGACAGCAAGATATTGCATACATTGAAGTAGTATATAATACAAAGATGATTGAATTATGTATCTAAGATCAGAAATAAAAAAACTATAAATGAAAATTTATGAATAAATAAGAAATCACAATAAAATATAGGAAAGTACTTACTGTCAAGAATGGTACTTGTTTGTGTTGGATCTATATCAAGTGAAATTTTGAATTGCTCAAGAGCTTTTTCTTTTTGTCCTGATTTTTGAAACGCCTGTCCAAGTAGTTTATGCGCGGCGGCATTTTTATCTTTGCATGTAAGGTATTGTTCAACGTATTTTACACAACTTGCATAGTCCCCTACATCGAAATATAACCGAGCGATCGAATATGCACGGCTGTTAAACTGCAAGAAAGCGACACATTAGTAACTTCAATTAAACTAAAATTTAAGCCACAAACGTGTATTTTCTACATACCTCTTTTAGAGACAATTTTGATGTTAACGTTTCCACGTGTTTATCGACGTCCTTTTTAGTTCTATACATTTTTGCGCAATAGTAATGACACGGTTTAAATATATCAATGATATTTCAATGAAAACTAATAGCGTGGATGCAAAATCTACAAACGGTCACAAACTTTGCCTTCATCATTCTAGAGAAGTTGTTACAGCATGAATCTTTTACTAAATAAAAGATTGCCAGCATCGGAACCTATATTCGATCGTCGCGTCTCGCGTCCAGCCGCGTCAACCGTCCGACAAATTCGTGTTAACTTTTTTGAAAAGATTTCACATTAATTCATTAATAATTTAAAATAAAATTGCATCATACAGATGATATTTTACGTACAAGGTAATTTTAAAACTAATTTTGTGTTTTTTAAATAATTAATTTATAAACAGAAACTTAAACATTTCTTTTCTGGTATTCAAATTAGACGTAAAATAACATCTTCAAATAATTAAAAAAGACTTATAAATAAAAATTACAATAATCTGTAAGCTATCAAACTAAAATATCATTGTTTTAAATGTAAATATCTAGTTTTCCATATTAATAGTAATAAAATAAAGTAATATAATTTATTACATAATATAGTAAGATATTATAGTTATTAGTTATTATTTAAAAAAAAGATATCTATATATAGTCTTACTATATTATGTATTTATATAATAAGTTTCAAGAAGAATAAATATATAGGTTTTATTGCGCCAATAGAACAATTTTGCCTGCTATTTTTTATACTCTTTGGTATTTTCTGTTTTAATTTACCTTTCTGGCAACTATTACTAAGAGGCACTATTATATTTTTTGGGTAACACTACAATCAAACAGTGATTAAATGGAATAGACAACGCTATATACACTACATAAATGGATAGGGCAGTGCTTCTAATTACGTTACGTGACAGTTTTTTTGGTCTTATTAATTCGAATATAATATCTCCTAATCAACAATTTAGCTATTCTTTAACTAAGGTTCGAATCCACACCACAGCTGCAACACCCCTACCATCAGCGCCAAAGTGGCGAAATAAAATGAGCACAAAACCGTCGTCTTTCAGCCAGTCCATTTATAGAGATTAGTGATAAAAAAATTTAAAAGATCTTTGGTTGCTGTCACTGTCACTCTGTTGGCATTCCATTCTGTGAGCCAATTTGCCTTGTTTTCTTGTTTTATTATCTTATATTTATTTACTATAACTATAAAACTATCTTTACCAAACTAACTTAAACAGATTCTGAAATATAAGTTGTTATGCCTTCTGTTTCTATGTATGTAAAAGCTAGTAATGTTTTAGTATTTACATTTCTATTCCAATGTAGTTTATTTTTCACATTTCTTTCAGATTCATGTAATTTAGTTTTGTAAAAATGAGTGACTCTGAACTAGCATATGGGTCTTCTCTAACAGTTGACTCAATTAAAGTTATTGCAGAAAGTGTAGGTATTGCAAATCTAGGTGATGATGCAGCAAAAGAATTGGCCGACGATGTTTCATTTCGACTTAAAATAATTGTTCAAGATGCAATGAAGTTTATGCATCATGCTAAGCGACAGAAGCTATCTATAACTGATATAGACAATGGTCTCAAAATTAAAAACATGGAGGTTAATTACTTTCCTTTTTTCTTTTTGTTATAGAAAAACATTCACTCTGAAGAACAATGTCTATGTTCGGACAATTCCAGTTCTAACTGTTAGGTACATAGTCGTCAAATATCTTAGTGGCTTTTAACATCACCCAAATTGCTGCTCAAGAAACAATTTTAAGTGAAGGCAGGCAATGGATGAGATGATAGCCACATGCAGCTTGCCTAAGACCTGCCAAGATATTTTAAGAGAACTATACAAATAGGAGTGCAATTTTCACAACCTGAATTACTTTTAAGATATTTCAATTTTCAGTAAAGTAATTTTAATATATTGTGAAAAAGTTGGCAATAATTATGTACATAGATATTGTCCGAGATATGTTAACATATTATTGTCAATATTAAACAAGTTAACATATTGGTTACATTACATTACAGTGGTACAAAAACTACACTTACAGCTTTTTAGTACCGATTTAAATAAACTGATTTTACGAAATAAATTTATGCAAGAAAACTACATATGAAATTCAATTGTAGGACTCTTGTTATAAACACAATGAATTTTAAGTTATAATCCTAATAAGACATGCATTTGCTATTTTCTGATAATTTTCATTTATTGTTTTAGTGTCAATATGGCTTCATACAACCTGATTCATTACCCTTCCGTTTTGCTTCTGGTGGTGGCAGAGAACTTCATTTTGTGGAAGAAAAGGAAATTGATTTATCAGAAATTCTTTCAACACCACCCCCAAAGATTCCATTGGATGTTTCTGTAAGAGCACATTGGTTAAGTGTTGATGGTGTACAACCTGCAGTTCCAGAAAATCCTCCTCCACTATCTAAAGAAGCTCAGAAGCTTGAGTCTGTTGATCCCATTACAAAATTAAGCAAGCCCAGTAATAAAGATGCGGCAGGTATGTATAATTATTAAATAGTTCACATTTTATATTTATTACATTTAAATATATTAAATTTATTACATTAATTATTTATGTTTATTCTAAATAATTAAACAATATTATATCCTTTAAATCTTTTAACCAAAATGGAAGGCTTGCATTTCATTAATTTAATATTTAACTTTAACATTCAGGTAAACCTGTGTGTGGAAAAGCAGCTCGATTGAAAGCTTCAGAATCCGTACATGTAAAACAACTTGCTACTCATGAATTAAGTGTTGAACAACAACTTTACTATAAAGAAATTACGGAAGCCTGCGTTGGGAGTGATGAAGCCAGACGAGCAGTAAGTTGTTTGTATATTGACCATAAAAAATTTTTTAGTTGACATCTATATACAATTAATAAAATTGGAGTGTCTAAGGGTAATATTGAAAAAAAAACATATTTCGAACACATGTTTTATATGCATTATTTATAATGAAAAATAAGTTTTTAAAACCTGTCTATCTGCCCCCGAACCTGGGTTTCTTCCAAGTAATCTTGATTTTAAGGATGTGACTTAGGCTTATTTTAACTTGACTAATTTTTTATTCTGTCCCTGAAGAAATCATGGACAACCACTGGTGTGTATATATTTGGGGTTTAAATATATTCATTTTATTTAATAGGAAGCATTACAATCATTGGCATGTGACCCGGGACTGCATGAGATGTTGCCGAGAATGTGCACTTTCATTTCGGAAGGAGTTAAAGTAAATGTTGTGCAAAATAATCTTGCACTTCTTATATACTTGATGAGAATGGTCAAAGCACTATTGGACAATCAATCCCTCTATTTGGAAAAATATGTAAGTACATATATAATTTTTATATTCTATGTCTTATACTATTTGCGAACCACGATCACATTTTTGTTTATGATTTAAACATTTTTTTACAGTTACATGAACTAATTCCTTCAGTGTCAACATGCATTGTATCACGGCAACTATGCCTGAGACCAGAAATGGATAACCACTGGGCTTTGCGAGATTTTGCAGCACGTCTTATGGCACAAATATGCAAAACTTTTAATACTTCTACTAATAATCTACAAACAAGAGTTACAAGGTAAATTTAAAACATTTGAAAAAGTTAAATATGTGCAGCATTAATTATTTGATGTTTTAAAAAATCTGTATTACCTCAAACCACTTTGTTATTTATAAAAAAAAATTAGATATTTATTCTTTACTCCCATTTTAAGATTATTTGCGAAGGCATTGCAATGTCCTTCTCAAACGAATAATGAAACTGGCAATGGGCCATCTATGGTTACCACTATGAAAGAGTCGGAGAAGACACCTCTTGCATCCCTCTATGGTGCAGTGCAAGGTTTGGCAGAACTCGGACCTGAAGTTGTTAAGGTAAGTAGACGTTTAAGTTGTTTTAATAATTTGAAAGAAATTTCACTATTAATTTTCAAAACTACTGAAATAAATTTTTATACTTTTTGACTTTTATGACGACTATAAAATATTTCTTAGCTTTGATTTGCTTCTGTTTGAGTAAAAGTTGCTTAGGTTTCTATGTTGTATAGTAGTAGTACTTTGTTAGGTGTTCATTCTGCCGCGCGTGCGTTGGCTGGGCGAGCGCGTGGAGGGCGCGCTGAGCGGCATAGGAGGCGCGGACCGTCTCGCGGCCGGCAACCTCAAGCACCAGCTGCTCAAGGTGCTCGCACCAGTCGTGCGTCAGCTGCGCCAGCCGCCGGACGTGCCCGATGACTATAAGTAATGTAGCCAGTTCATTTATATTTACGTATTTTTCATAACGTGATCTTTATTGGCGATAACAACATTGAGAAAATCACTTTTTCTTGCGTAATTTTGTAGACGTGATTATGGGTACCTGGGTCCAAGCCTGCAGCAGATGGTGATCAAGTTGCGCACCACGCCCGCGGCGGGTGGTGGCGGCGGGGCGGTGGCCGTGGTGTCGTGCACGCCGCCCCTCGTGCCGCACGCCCCGCCTGCGCCCGCGCCCTCGCCTTCGCCAGCGCCCCCTCCCGCGCCCTCCAAAGCCGCGGGTAAGTAAAAATACCTATAAATCAGAGTTAACAGCAAAGTGTGCATGATAAATAAAAAGGTTTAAAACATTGCATATCAATGCAATCGCAGAGTGCGTGGCGCGTAACGTGGTGATATCGGCGCCCTCCACCCCGCCCCCGCAGAAGTTCGTCATCGTCTCGCAGCAGAAGGCTCCTCAGGTATTTAAATTGATATTGACTATTACACTTATTAAAATTTCGTCTATTTTATGAGAATTTGTTCATTAAATTTGCAGGTTCAGGTGTCGAGTAGCGGCCACATAGTACATACCTCTCAGCCGACTATAGTGCGCAACCAAAACGTCCAGGTAATGTTTCGCCTGCTTTTTGTTATTTGTTTGTCAGAATTTTTCTTGTGTAGTTGTATTTGGCCTTCTACTATAAGAATGACGGCATGGTAAAATATTTATTCAAACGGGCTTAATGCAACTGGAAAAAAATTCTGCTTTGAATAATTAAGCAAAGCAAGAGCAAATAATTTGCTCAAGGCAATTGTCTGGAAAGGATAAAACCATAGGATCGATGCGGACTGCGGCGATTGTGGGAAAAAAGCTTTCGTAATGCATTGTTCTGAACGTGGAGTGGTAGTGTAGACATAGAGCATGGTTTGCGCAGTCGGTGGTGGTGACCAGCGGTCCGCCGGGCGGCGCGGGCGCAGGTGGGGCCGGCGCGGGCGCGGGAGGCGGGCCGCCGCCGCAGAAGCTGGTTGTTGTGGGCGTGCCGCCGCAGGGCTCCGCCTCCGCCGCACTACCGACGCTCAGCCAGGTATCGTATTCTGTTCAGTAAAGTCTTTTCAATGTTTTCGTGGTGTGTATTGCATTCTGCTACTGTGAGGGAGTGCTGTAGTTTGTAACGATAGCATGTCTAGCGCTATACCATTAAAAACGTTCATAATAAAGACGTGTTTACTACTATGTATTCTTCAAGTATGTATGAATAATTCACTGGAATATAGTAAAAGATGCGGGAATGGTGTTTAATCTTTGTAGAATATACTTAGCTTGTCAAATTTGCGCTAAGGCCCCGGTGTCGGTGATGGCGAAGCCGGTGTTCGTGCGCGCGGGGCAGCCCTCGCAGCCGCCGCCGGAGCTCGACGACCTGTCACACCTCGCGTAGACCACATCGCTGTGACGTCATGGACTCGGCCCCGCCCACTCGCACTCCTATCTATTATTCCACTTATTTAGCAGTAAGGTAATAAATATGTATTTGGACGTGGTTAATTTATGTTTTAGCCCTTTAATCTATGAAAGATTTATTTTTTTGTAAAACATACTATGTGTGTATTTTCTTAATAACGTGACCTTGGCGGATCATGTATTTTATCTTTCTTTCGTAAAAATAAGTCGTGTAGAACTTTCTAGCAAAATTCAAATTATTAATTTCAATGGTTATAAAATAAACAGTTGTTACGCATTGACTAAGATCGACGGAAATCATCGTTTAGAAATAACAGATAACAATTTTTCTTTATTATGTGGGAGGATAAAACTCACTATAGTGTGACGGTGCTATCGAAAATTTACAAATAAAAATGTTTTGCACTATTCAATTATTCCCTAACATAAGAACACCGCATATCAGCATACACATGGTATTGTATGAAACATTTTTTTTAATTAGACGTACATATAATTCTACATAATTCCAGTAATAAGTGATTTTACCAAGCAATATGACTAAACCATTAAAAATAACGTCTGTCCGCTGATTTTGTAATGCAAGTTTTTCGGCAGTAGTATTACAACTGAGAATAAATGAATAAACTGTACCAAATTATCAAAATTTGTTATTTCATTAGATTTAAGAGTAATTGTATCAAATGATTTTCAATAAACGGTCTTTTGTAACATAAATAATTTATTTATCACCTATTAAAACTATAAAATAATACTTACTACCTAACGTATTTTGTCATCCTTTTACCAATAAAATACACTAGTGAAAAGAGATGGTTTGTTTGTGAGAAGCATAATTTAAAAATATAAATTAGATAAAGGTTAAGTGCTAAGTAGAGAGTTCGATACAAGGAGATCATTGTTGCAACACAAAAATAATTGAAGGGTTTAATTGCGCTCACGGGCTCACTGCTCCAGTGGCATGTGAACGGGTAAATAGGCACCGAATCCGCGCATAATAGCCACAATGCTTCACAATGAACGAATGCCCACTCGACTGAATTGATAAGTGGGTTGTGCCGCGCGCGTGGGGAGCGTGCCCGACCGACCGCCCGCCCGCCCGCGCGCTATAACACAAGCTTTATTCAACGCTACTGCTTAAATGGCTACACTTTCATTGTCTCCGAGAGGCTACCTTTCTCATGGATTACATTTTATAAGATACAGAACTTAAATATAGAACTATATAGATGTAGAGTTTACTATCAAATGTAATAAGTTGATAAGTTTTGCATTTTGCCAAAACAAAAACTTGCAAATGTAACGTAACGTATTAATAAATCGGGGACGTATTTCACCGGAATAGCTGTTATATTAGTTTTCAAATCAACATTATTTGAAATTTATTTAGTATAAAAGATAGGGCTTATTATTATCATGAAAGAAAACGTGATGACTATAATTACTATATTCATGTTTTATAAATTATTTTGTCGTCGGATAAGATTTTATAATCTTTGACGGTGAGTTAGTGGCGGGCGGCGCGTCTTCCTGACCACTGGCGAGCGGCGGCGGGCGGCAGGCGGCAGCACTGGCACTCGTGCACCGCGCGGACGCTACTCTCAGCAGTCTGTCGTGTTCTGTCGCAGACAATACCTCATCGACACACGTTCTCTACCAACGCGACTGTTACGTTCTCTACCAACTCTATATTTTCCCGCCAAAAATTTCGCGCTCCCTCGATGTTGTACTATGATTTTTATTAACACTTTTAAAATAGTGATTTTGTTTTCGACCAGTGATTAATTACATTTTTGTGATGCGTTGTTTTTTCGTAATTTTAGTTTTATTCTTTGTGTTTTTACCAAGATCAACTGAGGCGATTCGATGGTTGTAAGTACTGTTTTTTTATATTTGTAAACATAGTTTATGTAAGTTGAAAATGAAGTTGTCTATAATTTACTTATAAAGTATTCAACTTTATATTTTCATAATAACAAAATTAACTTTCCTTGCATTTAAATAAACGTATTTAAGTAGTAATAGTCGAAAAAAAGTAATCCAAGTTAAGATAATTTGAAATGCTTTAAAACCCTAATTAATAAATAAAAAAAGAAGGTGAATCGGACACGCTACATGCATTTAATCTTAATATGAATGAACATTTCTGTACATTTTGAAACAAATATAAGAATAAAAACATTTAGCTAGCTCAAAAACTACTGAATTAATTTAAAAAAATACATCAATATAAAGCTCTATATATAACATAAATGCTATTGTTCTTTGCCTATCTAACCGAGCTGAACTCAGATGGGTACCTAGATCTGCTCATCCGAAGAAAGGTGTTACGTCTTATATGAGATGTCTTAAAACTTAAAAGTAACTAAATAACATTTTTCGACTGAAGTGTGAAATACGTAAAATTTAATACTATTTCATAATATTAGCACCTGCAAATGTATCATCATATTCCTAAGCAGCGAAGAATAAAATCGTTCCATAGTTATAATGGCCTATAAAGTCGCACAAAGAATCGGTCTATTTTAGTTTCAAAGACGATGATTATTTACAAATATTTGAGATGTTTTATTTTTGTTTTGCCTACGTGTCTGGTTTGAAGGGATGTTAATTTGAAACATGAAAGAATTTTTAAAATCGTTTAATTTGTTTGTGCGACTTTTTATCTTGAAAAGCAATTCTAAACCATGTAGCAATTCTTCTCAGAAGTAGGTACTTATAAAAGCTAACTTCTTATAACCAAAGAAAGAGTCACTGGATGAAATTACTATCATAATATATGTTGGATATTGTTTGCAATACCAATTACCAGCCAATGGCTCTCATTTTACATGCCAATTTATCTAAATTATGAATAATATGAAATTAAAGTCGTTTATTTAAATAGAAATAGGTTAATTTATAAATATTTTAAATTACTTACATAATTATTTCTTAATTACTTTTATAACAATTTACTGCAGCACATTCCAAAAGGAAAATATTTTGGAACATAAAATGAATTAAATAGTTTTATAGATCTCAAGTTAGTAATTAAAGTTCTTTGTTGCAAAACAATTTTAACTCAATTAACTTGCATGCTGAAAGAACCTGAATTGTTTAGAATGAAGTATGAGCATGAATCACTTTAAAATGCTTTTTAAAACATCGATTAAAATAGAAAACGATTAAACAAATGTTTTGATTTTTATTTTTAAAGCAAACTTTAACGTTTGTAATCTGCCAGTTTTAAAATTATTAGAGTACAACCAGTCTCTATTAGGCGAAGGGAATGTCTACAAAACATTAATAAAAGATTATGTAAATTGGAACGCCACCACCTGCCGCCACTATTAGAATTTTACAGCACGATAAAAAAGTAGCTATAGGGTAGCGTCGACGCCATCGAGTTATGTGGGATAGATAAAGCTGTTTCTTTCGAGATTCTCTTATGCGCTTCTTTTTTCTTTTTGACCAGAAAGCTAATTTTAAATCATATACCTAAGAGTATGCACAGGAATACTAATTTATAAAACGTAGTTTAAGGACGACCTGTCTTGTTTCAGAATTTTTTTTATTGAATAAAGTTTAAGAAAATGCTTCCTCGATTTGCTTCGGAATAATTATTTAAAATGTGTAGATTTCTACGTGGATAAGTGTTTAAATAATGAATTTTTACATTTACAAATGTGAGCAATTGTAAAAATTATCTAAAACAAGAAGCCAATTAGCGCGAATAGACGAAACTGTGCCCGCCGCCCGCCTCCCGATGCCCGATGCCCGTCCATCGGCACTCCCTAATTGAACATTGCACTAATGAGTTGCGTTGTTCGCTGCATCCCGCAATTATTCGCCCCAGTGATCGCTCGGAAATATATTATATCTAGGAACGAGTTCTTGTACTATCAAATATGACATTAGGTACAATTTGTTACTTTATAGCATTTCGTAATGTTTATATGGCTTAAATTTTTTTCCCTCTTTGAAAAAATATTTTAAAGAAAGGTAGGATTTATATCACAGTATCTTAGCAATGTAGAAAATTCACAGAAAATAGTTTATGTACGATCTTATTTAATAGCTTAGTCAGTCGAGCTACTGTTTTTTTTTAAAACTAAATATTTGTTTTTGAATAATTCAGCTGTGTTAACAATTAATAATAACAATAACAATAAGCACCAACATAGTAAACAATATTACGAAAGTTATTGGCTAAAAATTTACTATATGATTCAATTATAATAAACGCAATTGCAATGGACGTTACATCTGTCGCCTTCAAAACCCCGTTTTGTGCCTACTTTCCGCACCCTGCCTACAAGCGCCCTAGGCTATTGCCTAATTCATACATTTGTACAGACCGGCCCTAGATAGCCCCGTGCTAATAGGCGTGTTTGGAAAAGCAATTAATGGAGGTTTAATTATCATTCATATCAGTTATTGAATTTTCAGTTACAGTATTATATATAAAAATAAAATGAATTCACTCTTTTTTACAAGGTTTAGTGTACAGTTTCCCGTGTTAGTCCTACTCTTTGTTATGAGTTTCATATTTGATTTATTTCCTCTCACTTTACTGCAATAGAGTTATTTCTTGGAAATTATTAATGGATGGAACTAACAGAAAGTCGAATAAACAGACATTATTTAATTTGACCAATGAAGGTGCACGGTGGGTGTGAGTTTTTCAGAGTTTGGTTTACCAATAAACTGGTATTGTATGCGCTTATTTTACTATAATATAATTAAAAATGTCAACTTCTTTGATTTTATAATCGAAATATCAGGAGATTATTTTAATTTCCTAATATTTCTTTTAACTATTCCAGGTAAAAGCTCGAAGCTTGTCTAAGAATATGATTACGACAATAGTCGAATGGCGGGATTCAAACTCACGACATCTCGGATCGGTAATCCGTACCCTTTACCATTAGGCTATTGGCGCTTTTATCCGTAAACTGTTCCTTAATAAGAATTAGTTATTGTTAAAAAATACAAGTGGGTATACAGAATATTCTAGTTAATATTAAGGAAGCCCGTTAATGTCAGTGCTTAATTACGTAATTCATTTTATTTAATCTGTCACCTTCAAAACCCCGTTTTCTGCCTAATTTCCGCACCCTGCCGACAAGTGCCTTAAGCTATTGCCTAAT